GCGAACATCAATCCTCTCTTATTAAGCTGAAGCTAAAACGCTCATAGACAAACTGCTAAAAAGAAGAAAGCATCCACGCTGTGGTGGGAAAGGTAAAATGCAGTAATTGTCCAAACCTTTCAAGAAAGAACATCTCAGTAGGGAGCGGAGGACCTTTTTCTTTTCTGTGGCAAATTGCCAGAAGACTCCAGGAAACCTCACTTCACCAATATATATTTATTTCTAGGCACAAAATCACCTATATTTCCCTTGATTCCTGTGAATTTGTTCCAAAGACAGAGAGGAGAAGGTGATATCTTTTCCTGCCCAATTTCCTGTACATGCTATCCCTATCTCGCATTGCTGCTCTCTTTTGAGTGCTTTCTGAATCTGATTTATTTGCAGTCTCACAAAGAAAAAAGGGCACTTCCTGTCATGTCTACACAGCAACAAGAGAGAGAACAGGAGCATGCGTAGACATATAGGGTGAATTAATCTGATTAAATTCAGGCTTCTAAGTTTAAGCTAGTCACCCAAAGCTCCTTTCTTACAGTAGGCAGACATCTCATCAATATACAGTCAATGGAGCCAGAGGTGTAATTCATCTCATTCCAAAGTAGATGCCTAAAGTAGGTCACATGAATCACACCCTTAAGAGCTTTTTTTTCTCCCCATTGACTAGAGAAGGATCCTAGTGTGACCAATTCACTTGTAGATACTGAAACCATGGCTGAGTGGCTTCTATCCATTGCACAGTGCCACTCCATGCCCTCAAATGCTTGTGTGAGCTACTCTTCTTCCCCAGCATCTCTGATGCTGAGGTTTTGCTGTTGTCCTTACTCACTCCAGCAAAGTAGGGCAGGTCCAACTATGGAGACAGAGATGAAGGCACAGGTCTCACTGAGGGACCCTGAGGCAGCCTAGGAGAGCACTGCAGGCAGGGTAGAGCAATATGGAAAAGACAGTGCCCTGACAGTATTTTTATCCTGGTCTTGGATACAGTGCACCAGAATATAGGAGCTCAATGCTTTTTCTCTGCTATGGAAGGTAATTCACTGTCTCTGTGACTCCATTTCCCTCCTGTGGCACTGAAATAATTGTCTCTTCCCTTTCTCAGGTTTATGTCTTGGACCTTGGACTACTTATCATCTTGCTAGGTGACAGGGGATGAAGATGTAAACCCATGGCCCAGTGAGCTGTTGATCTCTGGACTTGACACACAACTTCAGTCCAAATAGCAATAAGCATAAGAACCTGAAGGCTGGGGAAACAATTGAGAGCTTGGTTGGGAATGTGAAATGTGTTGACTTACTCTTTTTGTTGGAGAAAAAGCCTTTTTCCTTTCTCTGCCAGGAGATTCTTTAAATGACCTTTAGATAAAAAAAAAATAAGCAAAAAACAGACAAACAAAAAAAACCCAAACCAAACAAAATCAAACCAACAAACCAACAAAACAACAAAAAAAAAAAAAAACCAAAAAAAAAAAAAAAAACAAAAAAAAAAAAAAAAAAACACGAAAAAAATGAGAGGAGAGGAGAGGAATACAACCAAACTTAAGCAAGACACCATGAAAACAGAGTTGTGAAATGTACACCAGTCTGCTCAGGTCTAACCAGAAGCCCCCCAAAGCAGGATCCAAGTTATTTGAGAGATTTTGATACCTAGTGAAGAGAACTTTTTAAAGAAAAGGAAAGAAACCTGTTGCAGGCTGAACAAGTCAGTGCTTCACACAGCTGTTTTCATGTATCCAGAATGACAGTCCATACATTATTTAAATCATCCAATTTATTGAACAGCTCAAACAGGTTCTCTCTGCAGCAGCCAGAGTTGACAAGGGCTCATAGAAAACTTTGCAAAAGATTCTGCTTTCAGCCAGCTCTGCTCCAGCCATGGGAAGTTTCACTCCCTTTCCTGGATCATTTGCATGAATAAAGGTCTTTGCTCCTGTCACCTCTTTCCTGCCTCAGAGCAGAACCTCTGGTGTTAGCAACAGAGTCACCTGTGTTGCTTCAGAGAGAGGTGTTGTAGAGCTCCATGGCCCCAGGCCAGCACCTTCATATGCAACGATGACTCTACTGGCAACATCACAGCACAGATACAACAGAGAGTGCAGGAAAAAATGAGCCTTTAATAACACCCATTCTGAGATCTGTTGGAACTGGAATAGCAGACATTAGCTGGAAGACAAGTGCTCATATCCATGGGTTTGAAGAGAGAATTGTGTTTAAAATCCTTTGCAACACCCATACAGTGAACTACCGGTCCTTGGGTATCAAGAATAAGCATATACCATAAAAGAAGTTAGATGTCCACTTGTTTCCAGATAAAACCCACACAAGTAGGCCTCTTAGAAGCTGTGAAACTGGGGAGTAAACTAAACTTTCTCACCCTCCAAATAATCTTGGAGTTTTGTTTTTCAGCCTGTGCTTGAATGAAAATTTGCATCTTTAGCTGAGGTATCCTAACAAGCTCTTCTTTTTTCCTTAGTAACAATCCTTTGCCTCTCCAGGATTTTCTCACATCTAGGTCACAAAGTGATGCGTTTATATTGGAAATGTGTGTAAGCAGATCTTCCCTAACTAGTGGGGGATTGGAGAGAAACAACTGAACAAGTACATGCTCGTACATGCACAGACACACTCAATGGACCTAGCAGAGCTAGTTATGAATCTAATAAACTGGCAAGCACTGCGAGCCTTATGCTGCCCATAAATAATTCACTGCCAGGATGCTTGTAGGAACAGCACCTTCTGCGTAGTCCATGGGAAATTCTAACAGGTACCAAGCCCTGCTGACTTCAGTTATTAATCCTGTTTATTGCTGCAGTGCCAAAGGGCCAACACAGAATGAGCCCCCTTTGGGCTAAGCACTGTATAAACAGAGACTCTTGAGTTTAAAAGGACTTGGGGAGGAGAAATCTCTGGTATAACTGTTAGCCCAGCCCCAGGACTGCCAAGATGCAAAATTTCTTTCCTCTCCGAGAAACAGCAGTAGCTTTTAGGCAAAATTCTCTGTTTTGTGTTAAAATAGACCCAAGCTGCTGAATCTGGACTCTGATAAGGACATAAATGTCTCAAGCTCTAAAGGATTTGTATGAGTTTTACTTATTAGAGTGGTCTCTTTGCAACATATTTCACCCCACTGGGTGGAAGTGGCAGAGGAGGATGATTTTGCCCCTTCTTCTAGGAATGTGTTGTTTCACAAGAGCAATTTATGCACCAAAAGTTGAGTGCCATCCTCTGCCTTTTCACCTCAAGCTTCACCCAGAGGCTGGAACTCAGCCCTGCCACACCAGCCCAGGCCTCCTCCACCCTGGTGAAGCCAACACAGCTACCCCTGGGGCAGCTCAAGGTCCCACACAGGACACTGGGTTGTGGGGAGGGGTCCAGACCAGAGCAGTGCTGGATGTGATGTGCAGAGTGGGGAAGAGGCTGTGGTTTTAAGAAGGTGTTCTCCATCATGGTCCCAGACCAGAACAAGCCAAAAACCAGGGAGAGGGGAATCTCCATTGCTGGGAGCTTCCAAATTCGGAAAGGGCAAACTCAGCAGAATTCTCCTTCTCTTTGTCCCCTTTTCTGCATAAGCTCTTCTGGTTGGTGTGAGGAAGAGCTGAGGTGGCAAAACCAATGATTTCTGTTAGGATTGAATGAACATGACATGTATAATGTCATTGAGGGGCAGAGGCAGGGTTCTGAAGTGCAGAGAAAGGGATGTCCTGAGGGAGCACCAGGGTATCTGAAGACAGGGATCTGGGACATGCTAGATGGTACCAGGAATATCTTGAAGGGACAGGAGGCAAAAGGTGCTTGGAGGCAGCCCAAGAGCACCCAGGTGCCCAGGGTTGAGCCAGTCTCATGCCCCCCAGGGACACCCTGCCCCTCCCTGCCTGGACAGTGGTGGGTCACTAGCCCCCATTGCTAGGGGCAGGTTCTGTGTCAACAGTCCCTGAGTAAGCCCTGTTGTTAGGGGCAGGTGGCAGGGGGCCCTTTGTGACACCCCCACTGCAGCACGTGTGGTCAGTGAGGTGGTGGCCCACAGTGTCCAGCAGAACAGTGACAGGACAAGATGGGAAAACTGAGCTGGCGAGAGCTGCCATCACAGCCCACCCCATATCTTGCCCCACGACAATGAGGCGTTTGTAGAAGCTTCCCCGGTCCCCACCCACAGGATGGCAGAGAGACCCCCCAGCCCCTCCAGGGCGGCCCAAGAGGAGGATGGGGCTCCCCAGGAGAGCAGCTCTCCAGCAGAGCCCCATGATGTGACTGCAGAGCAGCCCCTGCAACTGGGTGTGTGAGGGGCCCTGCTGTGCTGGGCAGGGCTGGGCACCCTGTGTGATACCAGGATCCTGTTTCCCTGGCACGCTGGCACTGGGGGACCTGAGAGGCACCCTCCAGCTGGGCCAGGGGAGGAAGCACAGGGCTGGGTGGCAGATAGATGTCCTTCCCTCTGCTCTCGCCTATCACCAGACCCTCTGCAGCTCTCCCTGCTCTCCCCTCCTTTAGATGCCAGCTGGCTGCCAATGTACAGAGTGAAGAAGAAAGCCCTAGACTTTCTCCAGGAATTTGCCAGGAGCCCCTACCAGGTAACTGCGGTCAGTTCAACAGCTGCCGTGCCCGTCCAGGTGTGCTGGTTGGGCAGACCTGCTGTTCCCACAAGGCACTGCACCCCAGGACTCCCTGTGGAGACCTCTGGCTGCAGGTTCCCCTCTCACACTGCTCAGTTGTCTCTCTGTCCCCGGGCTGTCAGGGTGAGGATGACAAAAGGATGTTCCTGGAGAACATCATCTATGTGTGCAGAAGTGCCTTGGACACTGGTTTGTTAGAGGGCCTGGAAATCTTCTTCCAAAATATCAATCTGGTAGAGAAGATCAAGGTGAGGGGACACCTGGCACGCTGGAGAAGGGGGCAAGGGCAGCATTTGGGCAGGGCAAGGGGCTGGTGGCAATGGGTGCTGGTGGTACTGGGTGCTGGCAGCACTGGGTGCTGGCAGCTGCCAAGTCTCATCCTAGTTGAGATCTGCAGATGGTGCTGGAAGAGGAGCCCAAGAAGCATCTGCGCTCACCTGTGAGGGAGCTCGCCATGCGGGCCATCACTGTTTTGAGGTACCTGCCCATCCCTTCCGGCCACTCCTGCCTCCTAACCTCCATGTCCACCTGCCCATCCCTCCCAGGGACCCAGCACTCTGTGGCCTCACGGTGCTGGTCCCAGCACCAAGATCCAACCGGCCCTACTCTCTCTGCAGCTCCGTGGGCACAGTGCTAGAGGGCAAAAGGAGAAGCCTCCTCGAAGCCTGTATCTCCAGTGTCTTCTGGCTTCCTTCAAACAAGGGCATGAGGCAAAGAAACAGATACTACTCAACAGTAAGTGCTGGGTAATCTGTGGGAGCACCCAGTCTCTCGGGGTTGCTCCCTGGCCACCCTGTGCTGCCCCATGATCAAGGCAGGGCAGGGTCTCGACTTTGCTTTTCCGCCTGGGTCCCTCTGTCCCTTTCCTGGGGCCCAGCCACATCCAGTGCCACCAGGTGCTGTGCCTGCAGCAGACTGCCTGTCCCCAGGTCTCTCCCAGGAAACTTGGACATCCTCCCCTGGCACTGGGCATTCCGATCAGTCTCCTGGGGTGGAAGGGACAGCAGAATCACCACCACTGCTCTCTGTCTTCCTTACAGACCTTGGATGCCATGGATGTCATGCTGGAGATGATGGTGTTCAACTCTCCTCCACCCAGAGTCGTTGAGGAGCTGCAGCAAATCTTGGAGGTCTGGCCTGTGAAAAGAGAGGGGGTCACAGGGCTGTTCCTCACCCTAGGGAGGAGGGTTTGCCCACTCCTGGATGGGTGGTCCCCAGCCCAGTTCTGTGCAGGTAAAATGTGCCCACCTCCCCTACAGAACAAGGGGCTGGCACCAGGTTCTTCTCTAGCACAGTGGCTGCAGAGGGTGGCAACTACCTGGCCACAAGGTTGTCCTGGGGCCTTTGTCCCTGGCCTGAGAGGGAATCCAGGGGAGGAGCGTCCCAAGACTTTGCTGGAGGTCAGAGGAAGCCTTGAGGGACAGCCCAAGTCTTGCCCAGGAGTGGAGCCACACTGATGCTGGCAGAATTGTTGTCTGCTCCCGGGGCTCACCAGCAGCTTCTCTTTTCCCAGATGCTGCTGGACCTGATCGACTCTGAGAACACAGATGTGCAGATGAGGGCTGTGGAGAGGATTGGGAATCTGAGCTATGCACTGTCCACACAGAAGGTAAGGCCCAAGAGTCCTCCAGCCAAGCCGTGCCTCTCTCCCTGCTGCCCTCCCTGCAGGGCTGCTGCCCAGCTGGCTGCTCCAGGAGACCTGTAGGGTCCTGCACAGCCTGGACTCACCTGGATCCAGCCCTGGGCACACCTTGGGTTCAGGGCTCTGGCACCAGATGCCTGCCCTCAGCCCTTCTCTTGTTCTGCCTCCCTCACCCAGCACTGGCCTGATGACTTCAGAACAAAACAGATCCCCATCCTGGGACAGCTGCTAGGTCGTCTTCTCTGCTTCCAGTTTTCTGAGGGAAAGACAAAACATTCAGCTTCAAGAGCTTTTTATTACCTCTGTCAATTCATCTTTGATAAAAACAGTAAGAACCATTGTGGTGGCCTTCAGCCCTCCACATACACACACATTCCCAGTAGCTCTGCTGCTCTTCCTGACTGCCTTTGCCCCTCCAGCTGCTTCCCCAGAGCATCCCAGTTCTCAGTTGATGCAGCAGCCAAGTGCTCTCCTCATGTCCAGGATCTGTTCTCTGCTGCCCTCCCTCTCCACTCATTTCCCAACTCTGAAACCGGCTGAGCTGGGGACCCCCCAAGCCAAAGCTGCCCTTGATCACCGTGACTGCTGATGCCCCCCTGAAACCACTTTGCTCGCTTCTGTCCTGCCCCCTTGCAGTAGATCTTGGGACAGTTCCGGAATCAAAAGCTGCTCTGGCTGATCTACTCTCCTGTGCTTCCCCCACCCTTTAGGGAGGATATCATACCCTGAAGAGTACTATAGAAAATACCTGCGTCTACCTGTCACCTTCTTGCAGTGGTGCAACAACATCAGAGCCCAGATCAAGGTAATGAGCTCCCCTCCAGCTGGGACTCTTCTCTGGGGCATCAGCAGGGGCCTTGTGTGAGCAAAGGGACCCTGAATCAGTGGGGCTGTCCCTGGCAAGAGCATTCCTGCTGTCCCTAAGCAAGGGACACTCCAGTGTCCTAGAACAGCTCCAGCCCTCCTGGTCACCACGTTTTCTGGAAGGCCAGCACGTCATGCCTGTGAACGCTCCTCATCCTCCCCCATGCAGCGACTGCAGGCACTGCTGACAGCTTTCCTGCAGGCACTGTCACCAGCACTGCTGGGCACCTCTGGCCAGGGCTGCTCACACTGCCCAGCCAAGCAGCTCCATCAGGGCCCTTGGTGTGACAGGCCTTCACTCGCCTCCTTCTTGCCCCAGGCCTTGGAATGTTATCTCACACCTTCTGAGAGGACATACATCATGCTTGCAGCCATCGAGGCGATGCAGGACTCCAGCACCTCTGGCCATCATGCAGCAAGACACTTCTTGCAGCTGGCCATGAGATCTCCTGATTTCTGGCTGGCAGATGTAAGTGGCCTGTGGCTGGATTACCCTGCCGAGCCTTGTCCCTCCTGCCTCCCTCCATCCCAAACTCAGGTGTCTTGTGCCCCTGAATTCACCTGAAGGCAGAAGAGAGGGCTAGGAAGAGCAGCTGAAGACATGGCTGCAGCACCACTCGTACCTATGTCCTCTCCAGGTGCCAAGCATTGTGAGGGGCATCCAGGAGTGCCTGGAGCACACCAGCCTGGCAACTGATGTGGAGAGCCTGGACACCTTGCTTGCAGTGCTGGCTCACAAATCCCCCAGGGAACTGGTGAGCAGCATGTTGACTTCCACAGCACCATATGACAGGTACCAGCCCCAACACCCCAAGGGACGGGGAGGAGAGGGACCCCAAGACTCCAGCCTGGCCACGCTCACCTGGGCACAGTGCCATGGCTGAGGCAGCCCTGCTGACACAGCGCTCTGTGCTTGGCAGCACCGCCCTGGCCGTGTGGGACCAGATGTATTCTCAGCTCAACATCACGTCCAAGTTCTGGGTGGAGCTGCAGGGAAGGGTTCACTCACCGGAAGAGCAGGACGGCGAGCTCTTCAGCCCCACTGTGTTGTATGCCATCAGAGTTTATAAGGTGGTAAGTCACCCGTCCTGGCTCACCTTGGGGACAGGAGACACTTGTCACCCACTCCTCCATGCCAGCTCTTGCTCTCCAGTCGCTCCTCAGATGCTGCTGGTGGTCAGAGGCCACGAGGAGCCTGCAAAAACCCTCTGAGGGTACAGGGACAGGGCTGGCCCCAGGACAGGCACCTGGCCCCAGTGCCCTCACCCCAAGCTGCCCACAGGGAACAGGAGCCCCACATCTCTGCCCATCTCTCACCACCACCTCTGTTTCAGACACTGAACCCCACCAACACTGAAATCGCTGACCTCCTCAGGGACAGTCAGAAGTGTCCAAAGCCGGAATTTCTCACACTTGCACTCACAGGTCTCAGCAATGCCTTGGAGAGTCCTGAGATGGTGAGTAAGGTGTTGAGTTGAGCCCCACAGGCCAGAGCAGTGGCCTGGCCTTGGCTGGGCATCAGGAGCTGGGTGACAGCTTCCCACACCCTCCCTGCTGTGGATAGGGCTGCTGGGTGTCCTGGGGAGCTTTCCAGTACTGTAGGATTGCCAACCCATTGTCCTGGTCAGAAAAGTAGGGTAACTGAGCCAGGGACAGGAAGTTTTTGCTCTCCTTCCCCCACTCCCCTCCCTCCTCTGCTTTCTCATACTTGGTTGCTGCCCAGTGGGTTTGACAGCTTCACAAGAGGAAACTCTGTGCTTCATTCAGGCAAGAAGACTTCGGTTCCTGCTGCCGGACATTGTGGAGCTCCTGCAGCACACCAACAAAGTCATCAGGCTAAAGGCCCTGCGGGTGCTGCACATCATGGTGCAGCACATAGGGAGGAATGGTGCCAGCAGAATGGCCGTGCGGCTCTTGCAGCAGCTCCTGCCACTCTTTGATGATGTAAGGAGCTGAAGCCTGTGGATGAATGCTCAGCCATCACCTTCTCCCCTCCTCCATCCCTTGAGGGATGTCTTCTGCCTCTGGGAAACCTGAGACTCCTGTGCTGGAGTCCTTGCTCAGCATATCCTGTCCTCCATCCCAGGAGTGCACTGAGGTGCGAGAGTACTCCATCTTCCTCTTCAAACAACTGGTGGAAGCTGCAGTGTGCTGGGACGTGTGGAGGATGAAACGAAAAGCACGGAAGGGAGTGATGCCACTGCTCCTCCACATGACTGAGATGTCCGAGAGCGTGGCCCAGGTGAGGGGCTCAAAGTTGGGCATTGGTGACCCCACAGGGGTGGTCTGAGCATTGTGGGCTAAGGCTGCTGACCCACACCTGCCCTACCTGGCCCAGCGGGTTTCAGCAGAAGCAGCCCATGGCCAGGATATGTCCCAGCTCCAAAGGGCAGGATGAGCCCAGAGCTCAGAGCTCTGCTCACTTAGACCTGAGGCAGCCCCAGCTGCAGAATGCCCATAGTGATGCCCTGGGGTCTCTGGGACTGCAGTCTGGCCAAGAGGAGGGGGACGACAGGCCTCCTTCCCCAGCCATAGGGCCATCTCCCATTCTTTGCCGCTCATCAGGTCTCCAGGGAAGCCCTCCTTTCCGTGGCTGAGATCCTGGGGTGGGAAGAGCTCAAGCAGCCAATCGAAACAAAGCACCCGTTGGATATCGCAGAGCGCTTGGTGAGGACAACCCCAAATTCAATCCCAGCCTGGAGCTGGCCCCAAGAGCTCCTCTCTGGGGCCCTCCCCTCTCCCCAGGGAGACCCCCACCTTTTCTGTGTCCTGGCAGATGCACAGAGGGGTCTCAGGCCCACCAAGCCCCCTCTGCCTGAGTCTCCCTCTGGGCTCTGTCTGGAAGATGGGAATGTCCTAGGTGGGGATGGGATGGCTGGGAAGAGGGGACTGGTCTGGCCAGCTGAGGAGGGCACATGCCAGCCTCGTGCCTTTGTCCTCTCTCCAGCTGGAGAGAAACATTAACAGGGTAGAAGAGTACCTGGAACAGAGCTGGCCATACCTGCAGTGCCCTCAGACCACCGTGAGAGAGACAGCCCGCCGGTTCACTCGTGAGCCCCAGCCCCTAGGTCCCTCTTTGGGCAGCCTGGCCCCTGACCTCCCCAGCCCTGGGGCCACCCGGGCAGAGCCTTGGCCTTCCTCTGCCCCCCTTGTCCACGCAGGTTGGCTTGGTGGCCACCTTGCTCAGTACCACCCCCTGGGCTACTGGTGGTCCCTGGAGGGTCCGTTGTGAGGGGGACAGGGCAGGGCCAGGGGGAGCAGGGGCTGACAGATCTCTGTTCCCAGTGATGGCCAGGTGGTACCTGAGGGACCTGAACGACGACGATAACCTCAGCAGTGAGTGGGGAGAATGGGCTGGGGCGAGGGGGGGATGCAGGGGGATCTCTGCAGACAGGGGGCTTCATCTCAGTGCCCTCTTTCAGTCATGACTGCTAAGTCCTCGGACGCAACTCGTGAGTCCCAGTCCCTGGCAGCTCGGGTCAACCGGATGCTGAGAGCTCTCCGGCTGCAGCGAAGACTCAGAGCAACCTGCCGAGTGCTGTGCTGCGGGTGCTCATGCTGGTGCTGAGTCAGACACAGGGGTCACTTTCCTTGAGGACACAGGGAATAGAATTTAACAAAACTTGCAACGAATTTAATAAAATCGGTGTAAGTCTGTGTTGAATAAAGCTGGGCCAGCAGTGCCCAGGGCATGCTGTGCAGCCTGTGTCCTCCCCAGCCTCTCCCCTAGGCTCCCCTCAGCCCCTGGCCACTTGGACAACTGATCCCTTGCTGAGCTCCTGATGAGCTGGGGGGTCTGACCCCAGTTTTGGGGTTCACCTCGGGGGTGTCCTTCACAACCTATATCTGTCTCCAAACGCTGTTCCCATGTCCCCATGCGTGGCTTCACACTGTTTCTCAGTAAACAATTACTATTTCATTAAATTTGCATTAAGCAACAGCCATGGGTAGGAAATCCCAGCTAGTTCTCCAGCATTGGCTACTACTGTCACTCCTCCAAACGACTGCTAATAGTGTCACTTGGAGTTACATTCAGTGCTGCTGTCCTGTCCATGGCCTATGAAATGTATTAAATGTATTAAATTGAGGCTAACATCCGGAACTGGAGACCTGTATAGGATCAGGTTTGGGGTGCAGGTTACTGATGTATCATGATGTCTGCATTATCTTCAGTAAGGATCTGATTCTCTTTGGACCACAATAGGATCACCTATGGGGTGGTGGTCAGGTTTGTGGATTCTCTCCATTCCAGGAAAATAAAAACAGGCTTGGTTTGGGGGAAGAAGGTTCATCCAGGACGGAGGAGGCATTTGAGATAGACATGGTTCCTTTCCTTGTGCTCAGCCACCCACCCCTGAGGCTCACCAGGTTAGTGCTCTCCTCTCTCTAATCATGAACACAGAAGGTCTTTGGGCTGCTGCCAGAACAGTTCCCCAAGAACTGTTTTAGTCTGCTCCTATTATTTACAGAAGTTTCTGCCACAGAATTGCCTCCCCCAAAACCTCCTACCTGCCATTTGGCATTAACCTTAAATGATCTCTACCCAGGGCAAACCGAGAAGCTCAGGCTGGAAGGCAGCAGGATGCAGGTAGAAGGCAGAATCAATGACTTTAAGAGAAAAACTACAATCACACCCCATGCTGTCACAAAAAAAGCCATGTCCCAGCTAACAGAGGAGAGAATCACACTTTTTTTTCCACCAGCCAATGACTTAAATTGATCTAATGTAGGAAGTCATCCTGACTAATCCTAATTTTATAGGGTCTAATGGCCATCACTAAGCTGTGATCACACTTTACCCAGTGTGTGAAAGAGACACAGGTCGAGTTAGGCTGGATGCAAAGGCAAGTGAAAGATTATCTACTTTACAGCTGTTGAAAATGAGGCAGGAAAGGGAGCTGGAGGAGAAAAAACCTACTCTGATGGAGTAAGGTGGTTCCTTAGCACATCACAAACTGCATGAACGGATCCTAAGCAACTATAGAGATCTCTGCTCTGTATTAGTTTTAAAGATTACTCTCCTTGTAATCTGTCTTTTAGGACCTAAATGGCCCGTGACAAAAGACCTATGATTAAGTGCTTCTTTGCTTTGTTACACTTCTGGGTGAAACTGGTGTTCCTGAAAATAAAATAACTGAAAAAAGGTGAAAAGGAGAGAGGACTGATTGCAGACAGTGCTGGAGGCTCTTCAGTGTTTGGTCCAAATTTGCTGGAATTTTAGTCACAACTCCTTTTGGGTCAAATGCAACATTTTACTCAGCCAGAAATAAAGCATTTAATTTTAGGTTTTGGGAAACTTATTGTAGTTTTATGAAGCATCCATATAGAAAAACCACTTGGGTTACTTTTTTTTCTACTTTGAGGAAAACTTTTACACTATTTTAAAACAGAATCCATTCACCAAAACAGACAAAGCTGCAAAATTATTTGGCTAAACCATGTCTGCAATTCAATAAAATCCTTATAAGCGAGTCCATCCTGCTTTAGTATCAAAGGAAAGTAAGTTTCTCATTTAAGTTTCTTTTTCCAGTGGGATTTTACAAGCTTAGAAGATACTTTTTTTTTTCTAATTTCCTTTAAAAATTATCCAAGAATTAGCTTTATAAGGACCACGGTGGCTGCAGGGGGAACAAGCAAATTAAACTTACTAAAACCAAAACCAACAAACACAGTGACATTTCCCCAACGCTTTCCCTATGCTTGGGGAAAGATAAAATTGAACAAGACAGTGCACAGGGAGACCATCTCCTCTCCCTTTAGCGATCCAAGCAGTCGATGTGCTATCAGTGAGGACATGCTTTCCAGCCATTACAGCTTGTACCGATGCACAGCCGCTTAGCAATACAGGGCACACACAACTTCAGCTCGAAGCTCTGCTTTTTTGCTTTCCCCGAGGACGGGTGAAACGCTGCATTACACAAGTGTAGTACAAGCAAGCGGCACCTCTGCTGAGCGCCGTGGATGATGCTCGCGGGGCACACGCACGGCTGGAAGGCGAAGTCCTGAAGCGACGAAGGGATGAAGGATGGGGAGGGGAACTCCTCCTTCCTCCACGGTGGCCATTGTGCTCTGGTAGAGAGGAGAGGCAATTTTTCACTTGCGGCATCTAAACTGCATACAAAATAGTGTTGCTACAGGGTGTTTGAACGTCTCTCAGAACTCTCCTTTTTTAGCGGGCTTTGTTGGCACATTGGCAGAGGAGGGGAAGGAGCAAAGGGAGTTCAGTTCCAGAGACCACGTCTGCAGTGCCAGGCACAAACACTTGAGCCAGCAAGGCAGTAAATGCCCCCATGGTTTGTCAGGAGCAAGAATCAGGGTGAAATCCTCAGCTTGGTGAGCAAGGCAATGATTGTCACATACAGCAGAATGAATTAGTCTTTCTAACTCTTTCCCACTGAAAATGATTCCATAACTCCCAGGTTACCAAGCAGAGGGAACCTGGAATGCAGACCGCTGCTGGTACAACTGCACATGAGGTACTCCAGAAAAGAAGTCTTTCGCCACCTGGGAGAATTGGTTCTCCTTCATCTCAGAGGGAATTTTTCACAAGTCTTGGATCCATTAGCACTCCAAATATGCATCTGTTTTTCATGGGTCCACCCAGTTCTCATCCAGGGAACTGAACATAAATTTTGGTTAATGAAGCGTTCAAGGTCTGGATCACTTGTTTTTTCCAACTGGTTCCTGGATTAAGCAGCCAGACTGGGAGGCCAGAAGCATCCCAGTGAGCAACTGGCCAAGACCCTGTGCCTGTAAACCTGATGGGCTGAATTCTGCTCTTCTTTGCCCTTCTACATATACACCCTTAAAAGACCAGGAAAATCACTTCATTCTGTTAATTCAGGAGTAGCAGGCAAAAGCAGAGGAATATCTGAAAAACCTCTGTGTTTTTCAAGCTTACCCACTGCTGTTCCAAGGGAGAAAAGAAATTAATTTCCTCTCAGCCCCAGAGACCTGGAGATCCAACAATGTCCATATAGATGTCAGAACAACTCTCTCCTTCATATCTCCATGAGATCTCTAACAGCTGCTTCATTATTCCTTAGAACAAAAGGGCAGTTGGTGTTCCAGATGTTTTAGTTTGCAACTGAATGATTTGTTTCTTGTCTTGTCTTTTGCAATTCTGTTCCCTAATTTGCAAGAGCAAGTTGCATGAACACAACCTTTCACCTTTCACCTCTGGCCCATCTCTCATTAGATGTATAACAACTTTCAAAGTAGATATCCCATGGACAGAAGCAGGAGATAGCTGAAGGTTTTGCTTCTGAGGGACAGGCTCTGTGGGTAATTCCTGAATGGGGGAGATTATAGAGCAGTAGGAAACCTGAAGGTTTAGAGATTCAGCTTCTTTCATATCAGCCCTTGAACAAACAGTGAAAGATAGCCATGATTTGCCCAAGGAAGAAGGCAACTAGATAAAGCAGGATGCATGTGTGTTTGATAAACTCATTCCTCACACCCTCTGTGGTTGTTACAAAAGGTGGATATAAGCTTGGTGTTCCCACCAAAAAGAAGTATTTCCAAAGCCCACAGCCAGAAAGGTGTGGTAAAAAGGTGGGAAGCAAGAAGGTGGGAGGAATTGAGTTATCCAAATTGAACCTGCAGAGCCACATCTCATGCACTGCCCCCTCCAAGGTGTCCAAGTCCTGCTTGCCCTGGGAGGCTGTACCATGAACCTATGGATGCAGGCATCACCAGAGCCCTGGGCTGGAGCCTTGCAGCCCCTGGATCCCGGCTCCCGCTGCAGTAAACGCTTGGGAAGGGCTGACTCCTCCCTCCTTCAAATACACAAATATCTTTGACCACACCTCTGGGGAGAGAGGAAATTGTCAGCCGAGTAAATTGCTTTTTGGATTGCTTTTTGTCCCTTTGTGAGAGCTTCACTTTAGAAGCTATCATGGGAAGGGGTGGCATGATCAGGTGAAAACCTCACATCCAAGAGGCTGCTGTAGGGGTGCAATATATTAATAAACTAATTCCTTGCAGCTGAGGCAGGAGCACAGAGCAGCCACTGCTTCTTTGGAAGCCTATGGATTTCTAATGGAGCAGTGTGGAGAAAAAGACTTATTTTATACCTAAATAATAAAAATAATAAAGGGAGACAAATAAATAAATAAGTAAATTCTGCTTGATAAATGCATTATTAGCTGTAGTAGGAGCAATTACAAGAAGAATAGGAAGTGACAGCTGCAGGTCCCAGATAGCCAAGGCACAAAAGGGGAGTTTTAGACAAATGTCCTTCAAATAATGGATGTTTCTCATTTAGTTTGGGGAGGGAGGTGGTAGATATGGGAAGCATTAAGAAGCTGTGCCACGCATAGGGAGCAGAGATGCTGCAGGAATAATTTAGCTTTTTTTTTTTCCTTTCCTGGTACATCTGACTTCATATTTGCTTAAAGCAATGTGAGTTTCTCTGTCCTCACCCTCCCTGCTCAGAGCTATTCCCATAAAGAAGATGAAAAGAGGATCCTGAGATTAGCTTCTTTATAAGCACATCTGTTGCAGGACTGAAAGCTCAGATTAATAAGAGAGTGAGGTGACCTCTGAGAATGGTATCACAGGCTCTGGGAGTGTCCATGTTGAGGGGGCAATGGAAACTTGATGGCAGTAGCCCAGCAGAGACA